ACTTTGTTTGCCAATCAGCACGCGACAATACGCTGTTCAAACTATTGAACGAAATTGTGTGGACTGTCGATAAGGCGGGCATTTTTAATTTTAAATATAAATTATAAGTTAAAAAAGAACATAAGAGGCAGAGAAAATGTAAATATAAGTATTGAACTGTTTTTGTATGGTATTTATGATCTATTTGAATGACACAGCTTTGCAAGCAAACAAATCATACTGCGCTATGCGTGATGTGTGAGAGTACCTAAATCATTTCAGTTATAATTTGCATAGCGCTACATTGTACTTCCCTATCAGTTATTTTGTGACAGCGCGGCGTACGTGAGTGTAATGTGAGACTTGTATATATAATGAGTGCTCGTCAACCAAACCGGAAGTAACAGTTTAGTGAATTCCCGTGTTTAAATACAGTTCCGTGTACTGTACAAGGGGCGCATTGGGTTGTAGACCTCTCTTTGTAGCACACGTTCCAGTGTTAAAAAATCGTTCCTTGTTCTAGTGCGCGTTTGATTAACTATCTCTGTTCAACTGTTCCATGTTCAAGGGGCGTGTCTGACTGGTGACAATCCTTCGGTTGTTCCATATTTTAGTGTTCGTCTGATTGGCGACTTATTTTCAACTAACTGTTCTGTGTTCTACAGGCGTATTTAGTTGAAGACTTATAGTTATGGTAAACATGCATACTTTCGCGTGTTGACTTGTATTTCTAAAACTATTCTCATGCTCAAACTCAGATTTTGTGCCCATGTCCAATTTCTTGGGTCGGTGAAAAAAAGAATTAAACCTAAAATTAAGTACCCTTTTCAGGTTTTACACTTGACATTTGTATTGTCACATATGATTTAAGCGGGTCACAAAAATGATGGTTTGAGCACAGCATCCATTCGTGACCATGGCAACGTTTTTTTGTGAATACGAACCCTGGATGGTTGAGTTAGTGAGATATTGCCGATAATATTTGTACCTGAACGTATATCCCTACTTCAGTAGAGAGCAAAGAAACTTTGATAATCCAGGCAACCCTCTGAACAACTTCCTCTACACTGACCACCATCCTCTACCCTGATCACTATCCTCTACTCTGGCCACCATCCTCCACACTGACCACCATACTCCACACTGACCATCATCCTCTACTCTGACCACTATCCTCTACAATGACCACCACCCTCTATCCTGACCACAATCCTCTACCCTAAAAACCATCATCTACTCTGACCACCATCCTCTACCCTGACCATCATCCTCTACCTAGCCCACCATCCTCTACACTGAACAACGTCCTCCGTACTGACCACCATCCTCTACACTGACCACAATCCTTTACCCTGACCACCATCCTGGTGTACGGCTATACAATACTCGGTCGGTCCAGACCCTGGTGTACGACTATACAATACTCAGTCAGTCCAGACCATGGTGTACGGTTAGATTATACTCGGTCGGTCCAGACCCTGGTGTACGACTATACAATACTCAGTCAGTCCAGACCATAGTGTACGGTTAGATTATACTCGGTCGGTCCAGTCCCTGGTGTACGGCTATACAATACTCGGGCAATCCAGACCCTGGTGTACGACTAGACAGTTCTCAGTCGGTCCAGACCCTGGTGTACGGCTATACAATACTCGGTCGGTCCAGGCCCTGGTGTACGCCTATACAATACTCAGTCAGTCCAGACCATGGTGTACGGTTAGATTATACCCGGTCGGTCCAGACCCTGGTGTACGACTAGACAATTCTCAGTCGCTCCAGACCCTGGTGTACGGCTAGATAGTACTCAGTCGGTCCAGACCCTGGTGTACGGCTATATAATACTCGGTCAGTCCAGACCCTGGTGTACGACTAGACAACTCTCAGTCGGTACAGACCCTGGTGTACGGCTAGATAATGCTCGGTCGGTCCAGACCCAGGTGAACGGCTAACTTATACTCAGTCAGTCCAGACCCTGGTGGACGGTTAGATTATACTCGGTCGGTCCAGACCCTGGTGTACGGCTATATAATACTCAGTCAGTCCAAACACTGGTGTACGGCTAGATTGTACTCAGTCGGTCCAGACCCTGCTGTACGGCTAGATAATACTCAGTCAGTCCAGACCCTGGTGTACGGCTAGATTATACTCGGTCAGTCCAGACCCTGGTGTACGGCTAGATAATACTCGGACTATTCGGACGCTGGTATACGGCTAGATAAAACTCGATCGGTCCAGACCCTGGTGTACGGCTAGATAATACTCGGTCGGTCCAGACGCTGATGAACGGCTAGATAATACTCGGTCGGTCAAGAGTCTAATGTACTGCTTGACAATACTCAAAGTAAGTGCTTAAGTTCACAGATCCGATGTTCTTTGGCGCAGACTAAACCAGCGTTAATGCTATTGCTTGCCAAAAAGAGCATTAGTGTCTTTGATATCTGACCTCGATATTTCCATGTTTTCTCGGTAAGTTCACGTCGTTTTTGTATCTTGGCTAAGCGAAATCACTCCCAAATGTGTTGTAAACTCGTGCTGCCCTTCGCCATATTTGATTGCATAGATTCTCCTGACATTTTACGCTTTGAACACTTGACATTTGAAAAGCAATAGTTGTTTAGATGTACATGTATGCTACCATGTCTTAGTCAACCAGTATGTCTCACCATCGCTAGCAAGGACCTTGAAGGACGATTCAATGTGTATATAGGGGTCAAGTTGTTCACACTGCCTGGCTCACTTCACCTGGCAAGGACCTGAAAGGAAGGGCCAATGTCTATATAGGGGTCAAGCTTCACACAACATGGACCACCACCTCTAGCAAGGACCTCAAATGAAGGGTCAATGTCTATATAGGGGGTCAAGCTTCACACAACAAGGACCACCACCTCTAGCAAGGACCTGAAAGGAAGGGTCAATGTCTATATAGGGGTTAAGCTTCACACAACATGGACCACCACCTCTAGCAAGGACCTCAAAGGAAGGGTCAATGTCTATATAGTGGTCAAGGTTCACACAGCTTGACTCAGCAACTCTCTGGCAAGGGTCTCAAATGCAGGATCAATGTCTGCAAAGGGGTCAAGGTTCACACAACCTGGCTCAGCACCTCTGGCAAGGATCTCAAATGCAGGATCAATGTCTAAATAGGGGTCAAAATTCACATAGTAAATTCTACACTGAAAAGTCAGATTCTATACAGCAAGGTTCAAGCTCCATACAACAAGTGTTAATGTTCACACAGCAAGTGTCAAGGTTTATATAGTAGAAAGATCAATGTAAACACAGCAAGGGTCAAAGTACACACAGCAAGTGTCAAGGTCTATATTTATAGAGCAAGGATCAAGGAACACACAGCAAGGATCGATGTACACACAGCAAGGGCCAAAGTACACACAGCAAGTGTCAAGGTCTATATTTATAGAGCAAGGATCAAGGAACACACAGCAAGGATCGATGTACACACAGCAAGGGTCAAAGTACACACAGCAAGGATCAAGGTACACACAGCAAGGGTCAAAGTACACACAGCAAGTGTCAAGGTCTATATTTATAGAGCAAGGATCAAGGTACACACAGCAAGGATCGATGTACACACAACAATGGTCAAGATACACACAGCAAAGATCAAGGTACACACAGCAAGCGTCAAAGTACACAGCACAGATCAGGGTATACACAGCACGGGTCAATATACACAGCACGGATGAAGGTACTCACAGCAAGGGTCAAGGTACACAGCACGGATCAAGACACACACAGCAAGGGTCAAGGTACACAGAAAGGATTAGGGTACACAGCACGGATCAAGGTACACACAGCAAGGATGAAGCTACACACAGCAAGGGTAAGGGTACATACAGCAAGGGTAAGGGTACATACAGCAAGGATCAGGCTTCACACCAAGTGTCAAGTTCTATATGAATAGAGCAAGGGTCAAGGTACAGTTGGGAGCAAACTTAACTTGGTATCTAGTGAACAAGGAAGTGCACTTGACAAAACATTGAAGTGCACTTAACAAAACATTGAAGTGCATTCCAGTTCAATTTCGTGTTAACTCCGGTGCACTACAGTGTTTACCAAAGTTTAAAAGACTGAAGTACATATTTCAATAATTGTTTATAATGTAATGGGTTCCTATGTGATATGAAAATTGGAAGGGAAGGGAAAGAATCATTCAACTGAATATTGAATAATATCGAATCAAAGATACACAAATTTGTTCGTTTATTGATTACTTAAAATTTCAACTTAACATATATATGTAGAAAGAGGATGTGTACACTATATCTGGTGATTATAGACACACAGCAAGTGTCAAGGTACGAACAGCAAGGGTCAAAGTACACAGCACGGATCAGGGTACACACAGCAAGGGTCAAAGTACACAGCACGGATCAGTGTACACACAGCAAGGGTCAAAGTACACAGCACGTATCAGGGTACACACAGCAAGGGTCAAAGTACACAGCTCGGATCAGGGTACATACAGCAAGGGTCAAAGTACACAGCACGGATCAGGGTACACCCAGCAAGGGTCAAAGTACACAGCACGGATCAGGGTGCACACAGCAAGGGTCAAAGTACACAGCACGGATCAGGGCACACACAGCAAGGGTCAAAGTACACAGCACGGAGCAGGGTACACACAGCAAGGGTCAAAGTACACAGCCCGGATCAGGGTACACACAGCAAGGGTCAAAGTATACAGCACGGATCAGGGGACACACAGCAAGGGTCAAAGTACACAGCACGGAGCAGGGTACACACAGCAAGGGTCAAAGTACACAGCCCGGATCAGGGTACACACAGCAAGGGTCAAAGTACACAGCCCGGATCAGGGTACACACAGCAAGGGTCAAAGTATACAGCACGGATCAGGGTACACACAGCAAGGGTCTAAGTACACAGCACGGATCAGGGTACACACAGCAAGAGTCAAAGTACACAGCACGGATCAGGGTACACACAGTAAGGGTCAAAGTACACAGCACGGATCAGGGTACACCCAGCAAGGGTCAAAGTACACAGCACGGATCAGGGAACACACAGTAAGGGTCAAAGTACACAGCACGGATCAGGGTACACCCAGCAAGGGTCAAAGTACACAGCACGGATCAGGGAACACACAGTAAGGGTCAAAGTACACAGCACGGATCAGGGTACACCCAGCAAGGGTCAAAGTACACAGCACGGATCAGGGTACACACAGTTAGGGTGAGGATACCCACACCAGGGACCAAGGCTCACAGAATAAGCGTCTACATGGGGAACCGTGACAGAGTACATGGGTACTACAGGACAAGACGTAACTATTCAAATGTGTAATTTCATCTTTATATTTTCTTATCTTTTTTCTTTCGTTTATGTTTATGAACTTCATTGGTTTGTACTTATGAAAACAGTTAGGAAATAATGTAATTCTACGGTCTGATATGATATCTAAATTAGCAATCAGTCTTGGCTCCATCCGAAACTCACTCACCATCTGATCAACGGACTCGACAACTAATGCATTACACAAATTGGCAGGTATATATTGCGAACCCCCCGTACTCTCCACACGATTTTGTTAGATCGGCAAACGCGGTTCTATCTCGAATTTGTTAACGTTAAGGTATTATGCATACCTCTGATGTATTGAATATCCGGGGAAAACTCTCCGAGAGGATAACACAGTAAACATGCCATTTTATTATAACAATCCGAGTATATATAGCATCTCTATACAAGTTACAGCCAGGAATTTATATGAGCCACGTATACGTACAGAAGTAAACTAGGACTGATTGTGTGAACGGTTCCATTTTTGTAAATGCATAATTCCATCAAGTTGATGGGGTATCGATCCGCCCTGAGACGTATCACGAGACGTATGTGCCAAACAGTTTACTAGAGAGGCACCGCTAAACCGGAAATGAAACTATGATATGGAAGCTAATTATATATAGGGGCCGTATCGACAGTCGATCTGCTACAAAGTGGTTTATATCACAGTTATCCACTCTTAAACCGTGTGAATATCTTTATACATCATCAAACTTTTGCTTCCTGGAAACAAAAACTGCATCATGAAATAATTGCTGGCATGTGTTTGATGGGTAGTATGTTGTCTGTGATGACTGGGTACAGGGAAGCATCGATACCTGCCATACTTAAACAGAACACATCTTACGTAGACAGATACATGCCTGGTAATCCCTTGATAGAGTAACTCTACTTTAGACGCCTTGAGAGTAGGAGACCGCGTCCGTCATCATTACTCATAATACAGACTTGTATGCTCGACAGGGCGCTAATATGTTAACTTGCCTCGTTATGCCGAGAGGGTAGATAATTCAAGTAGTTATTGCAACATCTCAGACCTAAACGCTTAAACTGACTTAACATACAGAGAAAGACATGCAGTTTGTGTAGGTAGAGAGTTTTATTGTCGGTGCCCCGTCGATATATACCTTCGTTCAGTGATCTGGCCTTGTTTTTTGTCCGTGCCCTTCCTCGCCTAGATTGGGTTCCGACTGGCTCCCTCATTAAGGCGTGTCTATTACGTCGCCAAATAGAAGTAATAATTACCGCGAATAAGTGCTACACTATAATACTGGTAGATATACGAGGTGTACCTGACTCCGCACGTTCAGCGTGCTGTCTGCCACACATACAGTTAACATATGCCGGTACCATTACATGTATTTAAAATCGATTACAATGTAATATTAGTGTAACCCTGGGTTATATAATATGATATATATATCGTGTGTGTATATATATATGCAACGAGTGCTGTCAACTGTCTGTAAACAGTGTGTGTGACGTCATCAGTTCGGAATGCATGTACCTGTGTTTCAACATTCTGACTGAATTGTACTTACGACGAAGACCTTGGACCTGCCCCTTGCACGAATAAAGCACCCTTTACCCCCGCCACTATATTCTGGCTACTGGGTAGATACTTACTGCCCAGTGGTCATTCTTACAATCCGACTCGTGAGAGACGGATCAGATTACGGATAGAGTCGAGCCATTGAGTATATATATATATAGAGGGTGTACAGATACATTGCCGCCAGCATGTATTAGCAGGCTAGGCACATCATATCCGGTATGTATAACCGTATTATTTAATAACTATCGTGTGGTTATAACATTTAGTTATTAGAAATTATAGCGGTCTCTATTCAGAGGTCCGGTACCTCGGTCGCGCGGAAGTTGTGTAGTATTTATTGTATGTATATGAGAGGGTAAATGTATTTACTGTATTGTCCTGTATTGTAGGTTTCTCGGAGATTATAAAGGAAAGATATGCACTTAAAACAACTTGTCAGAGTTATTGTTAAAACTGAGCAACCGGTGACATTAGTTTGCACTTTAAGGAGAGATGCTAGTATTGAGCGAATGGAAATTTTTAACGTACCCATAAATAGGCTGACTTGAAATTCTTAACGTTCCAAACAATCTAAAGACTATTGTTACCTCTTCACTTTTTTTCCTCCCTTCTCTTACTCTTTCACTTGAGTACAAACATTATTGTGAATATTCATTCTTTATTTACCAACATGTTTTACAATATATCATAACAGCCAACTAAAGGGTAAAAAACATGTCAGAATCAGCCTTGGTGTGACGACCTTTTTATTCCAGTGTTTGTCTGTACATGTGTTCGTGACAATATGCATTACAAATGTACCTGTATAGGAGGAGCCTGTAAACGATGTTGGTATTACCTGGCACTCTGCCGGTATACCGGTATAACCATCTCTACCTAGGAGTCACCTGGGAATTCATCCGCAAATAGCTTCTAGTCATTACCTAATGCGGCTATTAAGCAGGGTTTTTGTCCATAAAGGGTAAGGAACAGAAACATCATAATTATATTGAGTGATGATCGGCAATTATCGAGTCTTTGATTATCGAGATACGTGTTCGAAAGGACGGTTGCCCGGACAATAGCCTCATCCTAGACTGCTCAGACCATAAACTTATTAGCGGGGCTCCTTCTGACTGAGTTTTTAAGCTGTTTGGGGAGTGTATCATATTATGGCGTGTATTCTCTCCATAAGTCCATCTTTTGATTATCATTCTCTTCTGTTTCCTTTAATTTTTTAAATATTTACAATAAACAGTCATGTAAATTATATAATCAAGCGTGATATAATTACATTGAAAAGTGTATGTTAATATGGATAACACATCAGAACATGGCCTGGGTTGCGGTGGATTGAATACCTTTAAATGGTACATGTAGCATTTGTTTGTGCTTTACGTCTATTGTTGGTACGTTATAAACAAAACTAAAACAACCACATGCAAGTGAAAAACAGAAACTGAGGATTACTAAAACAACCACAGGCAAGCGATAAACAAAAACTGAGGATTACTAAAACAACCAAAGGCAAGTAATAAACAGAAACTGAGGATTACCAAAACAACCACAAGCAAGTGATAAACAGAAACTGAGGATTACTAAAACAAACACAGGCAATTGATTAACAGAAACTGAGGATTAATAAAACAAACACAGGCAAGTGAAAAACAGAAACTGAGGATTAATAAAACAAACACAGGCAAGTGATAAACCGAAACTGAGGATTACTAAAACAAACACAGGCAAGTGATTAACAGAAACTGAGGATTACTAAAACAAACACAGGCAAGTAATAAACAGAAACTGAGGATTACTAAAACAAACACAGGCAAGTAATAAACAGAAACTTAGGATTACTAAAACAAACACACGCAAGTGATAAACGGAAACTGAGGATTACTAAAACAACCACAGGCAAGTGATAAACAGAAACTGAGGATTACTGAAACAAACACAGGCAAGTGATAAACAGAAACTGAGGATTTCTAAAACAACCACGGCAAGTGATAAACAGAAACTGAGGAAAACTAAAACAAACACAGGCAAGTGATAAACAGAAACTGAGGATTACTAAAANTGAGGATTACTAAAACAACCACAGGCAAGTGATAAACAGAAACTGAGGATTACTAAAACAAACACAGGCAAGCTATAAACAGAAAATGAGGATTACTAAAACAACCACAGGCAAGTGATAAACAGAAACTGAGGATTACTACAACAAACAA